AAAAAAAAAAAAAAAAAAAGTCAGTGGCCAAACCGATACACTTTCTATCTAATTCACACCTTGTTCCCTTCTAAGAAGCGTGGTTTGCCTCATTGTCAGTGCTATTTACTTATGGCTACTTTTCATTATTTTTTTCCTTATTTCAAAGTGGAAAAATGAAAATAAAATAGTGTTTTATATTGAAAAACAAAGGGCCTCCTCCTTGACTTGAAATTCCATCATCTCTGTAACATGTAAGTAGTAGACAAAATCCTAATTTACATCAAAGTACTCAACTGAAAAAAAAATGCTAACTCCTTTCAGTTCTTTATGTAGAGTGGGCTACTTTGGGGATAATTAAAGTTGGGAAAGTGAATTTTCTGAAATACAAATTGTAGCACCTGTGACGGATTCAGCTTTTGTTGGCAGCTCACAGCATAGCACAACAAATGGCAACTCCCACTTAATCAGACGCCTAGAGATGCAATGTCCAACACTAACTTAGCAACCACAAATTCATCATCGTCATCAGGTGTTATGAATAATTTAGTTGAAAAAATACAATCCTGAATAAACATTCTGAATCCCAATATGGCTTTGAACATGCCATATGAGGCTTTTTCAACATAAAACCAGGGACCAGGATTTAAATAGTTTCGAAATTATTCTTTATGCTTTTTTAGCATTTAAATGAATAAATTTGAGAACAACTGGACTTACAAACTATAAATTTGCATTTTATTTTAGTGATGTTATAATAAAAAGTATTAAAATTAGAACTATTTACTATCGGGTTCTGTTTATGGATAGTGCTGCTAGAATAATAAGAAAGAGGAAACAAAAGAATCATATGAAGCCCAGTATACAACTACAGTTTTATTCCCACAGATCATAAAAGTGTATTCATAGTATGAGTTGATCTTGTCCCAGTATTAATCATCAGCCTGAATTCTTCTTTTCCTCCCCAGTTCAGAATAAGATTCAAATTTCTACTTGGAGCAGACTGAAATGGCAATTATCCAGGCTTAAGAAGCAACTCCCAACTTCCCTGCCTCAGTATTTAGGGAAGATAACATATCCTCTTGCACTCCTGGAAGGCCCAGTATTCACATGTAATTGGAATTTTACATGTGTCAACCTTTTTTTAAAAAAAAAAGTTTCCTTAGTTATTTTACCCTTTCTTTCGCACAAATGTACTTATATCCTGAATTAAGGAAATTTTGCTTTGTCATTGCAGAACTACCAAAACACTTAAAAGATAGTGTGTTTTTCATAATCAACCATTCATTTATTCATTCATTCCACAAAATGTATGGCACACTTAGCATGCGCCAGACAACTTTCTAGGTGCTTGGAAAGCAGTGGTGAAGAAAGGTTACTAAGAATACCTACAAATACTGAGATATGATTTGTGTAGGAAGATTTCTGTGACTGAAATTATAGAAGTCTTGGTACAATAACCACTTGGCAAGATGAAGTCACATTTGGTATGTGACTGACTATTTTAAGTTCCTTTCAAACTTATGAGTGAATGAATATAAAAGTGGTTGGTGATATGAATCTGAAATGGAAATCTAACTTTGCATTTATGTGTATAAAAGTCAATCAGTAGTAGCTTTGGCATCATGATAGAAAACAGAAGAATGCTTTAATATTAACTTAAAAAGAATTGTGGGTTCTCTACACTAGGTATTTCAGAAATAGTAGAGTTCTTTAAATGAATAAAGCAAAAATTACCACTAGAATATTCTTAAGGAACATGATAAATAATATAGACCAATTAATGGTTAAAGCATATTAAGCAAGAGTATATTCCAATACATCTACCTACGGAAAGAGGCATCATAGCATAGGGGTTTAAATGCAATCACAGGAGTCTCACTGTTTTGGTTCAAATCCAAGGTCCAACATTTACTAGCTGTATGATCTTTAGCAAGTTGCTTAAACTCTTTGTGCCTGTCTTCACATCTATAAAATGGGGATGATAAAAGAACTATTGCATATGGTTTTTCTGAGAATTAAATGATTCGATATATATATAATATTAAAGGAGTGAAGAGTGTCTAATAAACCATAAATATTCAGTAGGCATGAACTGTTATCTTTTTAATCATCTCCAGCAATAGGACTGAGTAACAGAAGGAAAAGCAACATTGACAATATAATTAAAGAGCTTAGAAGAATTAAGTAACATGAAGAGGGCCAGAATGGGCAGGAAATGATTCCTGGAAGAAATGAATCAAAACTGAATCCTGAAAATTAAGTACATTAAAACAATAATATTTGCCTTTTTTTAAGCATTGTGTTTGCTGCTTTATATTTTGTCTCATTCAATCTACACAATAACATTATGAGGTAAATATTATCATCATCATTTAATAAATCAGAACACTGGACTTCAGAGACTTCTGACATCCAAACCCCATACCTGTGCACAAAACTGCCTGTCCAAATCCAATATCCAAGAGATGCTGCACAGATAACTAAGAGTCACCTACAAAACTAAACTCATTCCCCTATATTAGCTCCTAGTGGTGGCCCTTCCCCAGTGATGACCTTTCCATCCACCTCAACCAAAGCATCATCTTGATGCCTCTCTTGCCCTTTCCACCACATTCAGGTAATGATCCATGACCTAAATATTCCTCCACAATTTTTCCTTCCCCTTACCTGTTTGACAACCACTCTACAGCATCTTACCTGGAAGACTACAATTGCCCCTGCTTCTGCTCTGCCCCTTTCCAATCCAAACACCTTAACGTAACTTAAAAATGTCCCTCATGGGCCAGGCGCGGTGGCTCACGCCTGTAATCCTAGCACTCTGGGAGGCCGAGGCGGGCAATTGTTTGAGCTCAGGAGTTCGAAACCAGCCTGAGCGAGACCCCGTCTCTACTAAAAATAGAAAGAAATTAATCGGACAACTAAAAATATATAGAAAAAAATTAGGTGGGCATGGTGGCGCATGCCTGTAGTCCCAGCTACGCGGGAGGCTGAGGCAGTAGGATCGCTTGAGCCCAGGAGTCTGAGGTTACTGTGAGCTAGGCTGACGCCACGGTACTCACTCTAGCCCGGGCAAAAGAGTGAGACTCTGTCTCAAAAAAAAAAAAAAAAAAAATGTCCCTCATGGTGTGGTCCCTCTGTACCTCTCTAATCCCACTTGTTAACTTGTTGCTCCCTGTCTCAATTTAGCTACTGTCAGCATTCTGAAGATGCTTAATGCATATTTTCTCTTTTCTAGTTCTCTTGACATGCAATTATCTATATATCCAGGACTCGATTTTGATGTATTTCTTCCAGAAATCATTTCCTGCCCATTCCAACCCCTCTTCATGATTCTAAGTTAAATACCTTTTTTGTATTTCCTCACGTTGCACTATATAAGAGCATTTTTAACACACTGTTATAATTTCTTGCTTATTAGTTTGACTGCTCACATAGTCTGTAAACCTATGAGAGTAAGGACTCTGCCGCTCCTGTTTACCGCTGTTTAACCAGCATCTTTGTACCCAGCCTAGTGCACAGTAGATGCTCAATATATGTGTTATGATTTGTCTTTCTTTGTGTAATATGTCTTTTTGTTAATAACTCACAATGTGGTAAACAGATTTCTTATATCCATCAGGCTGCTTCAAAATGTCATATTTAACTACTAATATAGGGCATAATTCATTATTTCAGTGTATATTTGTTAGGTATATAACTTGCATGGATATGTGCAATTGTGCATGATGTCATCAGCATTGTGAACTACTGCATATGAGAACATTTTTGTTTTACTTCCTTTGCTAACAAGTGACATGGTTCATAACGTCTCATGTATAAAAGCCAATGGGACTAATAAAGACAAGGGAGAAAGTAAAGAGAGCGAGCTGAGGAAGTAAAGCATTATTATCTTTTAAGATTTACCTGGAAATAATTGTGGAATACTTGCTTTTTTATTATGAGTTCTTCAGCATGCAGGTACAGAGGATTAACCACACAGATGGTTTATTCCTTGGG